TTTATTCTCATTCTTCTACTCATTTTCAACCACACGTTTTTCAATAAAATAATATTTTTCATCACATCAATAACTTTTCCTTCTTTTTAACCACACATTCTCCATCAATCTACTATTTCAAAATGTATTCTTCCAAAATAATATGACCCAAACACACCCTGATTTTTCAACTTATATTTTATATTTTATTTTATTTTTTTATTTTTGCAAAGATGAACCTATAACTATAAAGTAACTATAACAGATACTTAAATATATTTTTTTATTGAAGCTTGTATTGAATGCTTGGCATGAAAGAATGCGGATAGTATAAGGGGTCGTCATTAATACCACTATAAATAGGGATATTGAAGTTGTTCGTCGATACAAGGAAGCAGGTAAAAATTCTATTTTGAGAATAAAAAAATCTCTTTTAGATATTTCATATAATCTTGCAATCAAACGGACACTACAAGCAGAATTAACAAAGAGACAATAACTATTAAGCATATACTAACAATAGAAATGAAGAAATCAGTTTCTCTCACCAAAATAAATAAGAATCCAACATAGAAATGATCAAGTTCAGAGAGAGAAATCCGTCACTTAAATTTCTAATATTTCTTTCTTTCTTTTCGGTTGTGTGTTAATAAAAGAATTCAAATTTCAAACCAACTGACAAATTAAGCAAGAGTACTACGAACAATCAAATGAGATGTTTATGCTAAGTTAAAACAAAAAAACAGTTTCACGTTTTTCACGGAAAAGTGCAGATCGCCAATTTCCACATTTTTTTATGGCTGCCAATTTTTATTTTTCATTTATGTATCATACGCATTATCCTCTGCAAACAAAGTCATGAAGCAACCCACAGAGATACATAATTTATAAATGAGGCATGCTTAATCAAATCAACAGCTTGAACATCAGAAAATCTCCGAACAATCCACAGCCAAAACTCCATAAATTTACAGTCTTTAACTTGCAAAACATTAAATTAGAAAACCTTTTGACCTTGATAGACGTGCATTAACAAATCCACTTCTAAAAGCCATATAAACCATTTATATTACATGTATAGATAAATTGCTAGCACTTGAAATGCAAGTCTTACAATTTAATCCCTGAATTACACAAACCTGCAAGAGATTTCAACTGTAGCAGTATTGTTAATTCCCACCTCACTATGAAACTTTCTCTATAAGACAAGCCGTCTTCAGTAAAGCAGCCAAGCCAGAGGCGATCCGCCAGTGTTGGCTCGTGGCTCGACTCCTGCTGTTTGGTTTTCGCCTCGCCACTTGTCACCGCCAGAACCCTTAGACCTTCCGAGCCCGGTCAGAAGTATTGCACAATACAAATCCATTTCTGTTTTGCCGACGAATTGAATTGGAAAATCCGAAATTGCTCCGCCGAACATCCCTCCCCTCAACAACGTTTTGCTCTTTATTATCAAAATTTTCAATTTCTTTTTAGGGTCTTTTTGGGGCTCCTGTAAAAGTACAAAGATCAGATTTTTTATGCCACAGGAATGTCTGTATTTTTTGTAGTGTTGGTTGATGGGACCGAGGAAGATGAAGCGGGGTTGTGGCTATGGGTTTGGATTTCAGGGAAAATAACAGGTTTTGTCCTTACAGCTTAAGAAAAATAATGGGTTTTCCGTTTGACACCCATTATTTTAAAGAATGAGTTTTTGAA